CAATGCAATCGCTTTTGCTATCGCAATTGCAACATCGCTATGCGGATTCATCGTTAAACGGTGCGCTTGTTAAGCGAGGCACCACTGTATTTGGGTGGATGCTGATGGTTTAGAAATTTTTCCAGTTTTTCTTCTCCTTGGTTTCATATTACGAAGGTGTCATCCACGTATGGGAACCAGACTATGAGTGCGAAGGGTGCTGAAGCCAGGGCCTGTCTTTGCCTGCTTGCAGAAGACAGCAAAGATGGGACTAGCATGGCCTCCTGTGGGAGGGAGTTCTAGAGTTTGGGAGGTGTGACAGTAAATCCAATAGGCACTAAACATACAGTTAAGTGATACTTTTTTTGCTTTTATTTGACATGTGAGCAGGGCATGCTAGGCCTTCTGTCTTATTGCTCCTTCCAGGAGAAAAGCAATAAGATTGTAGAAGACAGATTTTCTTCTTTCCATGAAGTAGGCATCATGTGAAAGCAAGAACCCCCAAAAACCAGTGTTCCTACTTGCATGGAGAGCTTACACATGAGCAGGAATCCCACATATCAACCCCTCACTTTCCTAATGTAAAAAGCAACCATGGAGTTGCGGGGAAACTTGGTGCATCTCTGCTTGCAGGATTGGTAAAAGAAAGGTAGGTAATGAATAGGACTGTTATGCAGTAGCTACCTTTGCTTTTATTTACATCTTTGCATTTTTAGTCACCTTTGAATTAGTTCTTATTTTATATGTATAAAGCTGGTTCTAGATAATGAATCAGCCAACCCCAAACAAAATCCACACAAAAAAGAATGAAATAATTAGAAATACATGATTGTTTGTACTGCAGTCTCTTCCAGTCAATAATAGATGGTGATGCCGTCCAGGTTATGATCTCTTCTCTCAGAAGTAAGCTTTCCTTCCATTTCAGGGCATAAATCAAAGTGCTGGCATTAACCTTCAAATGGCCTGCCACCATGTAATCTGTAAGGATTATCTCTGCTGAAAACTGTTGAGCCTCTTGTGACTTCCTTCCTGTGTTTCCTTCAACCTGTTTTCAGTTCAAAGCAGAAAATGATTCGTAGCCATTTTCAATTTTGAAAAGTAGATCACTTGAGGTTCAAATAGGACCCTGTGGAAAAAATTGTTCTCTTTGTCCCTATGGGTCTAGGTGGCTTAAAAATTTTTTTTTAAGGGGGGCAGACGGGTGGGCACAAATGCAGGAATGGATTTTCAAAGCTAATCCTCTCCCTCTCTCTCCCTCTCTAATTCCCAGACTTCTGCATGTTGTCACTTCTGTTTTAGTGTTGACTATGAGTTGTTTAAACATTTTACATTGAATTGTGGGCTAGATGAAGGATAAAAGGTAAAACAAATACCACACTTTCTATATTCAACTATATGGGTGGAATACAAAAGTATTCTTTAATGCTCTAAGGTAGTCTAAGGACAACGCCTTACATACCATAAATAATCTCCAAAGCAAATCATTGACATTCAGTGTCTGTTGAACCAAATATCTCTAATTCTACATTTTTAATTGCTTTATCTGAGGTCAGTAGTTTTGGATCTGCTCATCCTTTTTTTTCAGAGAAGATCATAGAATCATAAAATAACAAAGTTTGAAGGGACCTTCAAGGCCATTGAATCCAACCCCTTGCTCAATTCCAGAATCCAAATCAAAATATATCTGACAGATGGTTGTCTAATTTTCTCATGAAAGTCTCTGGTATTGGAGTACTTGTCACCTCCTGAGAAAATTGGTTCCATTATCATACTTCTCTAGATTTTTCCTGATGAAGAGCCTCATAGCGCAGTGGTTAAGCTGCAGTACTGCAGTGAAGACTTTCGTCATGAACTGAGTTTGATAGCCAGCTCAAGGTTGACTCAACCTTCCATTCTTCCAGAGTCGGTAAACTTAGTTCCCAGTTCGCTGGGGGTACAATGTATAGTCTGCATAATTAAATTACAAACTGCCAGAGAGTGCTTTAAGCACAGTGGGGTGGTATATAAACAGCATGCTTTGTTTTGTTTTGATATTCAGCCAAAATCTGACTTCCTGTAACTTGAACCTATTATTACATGTCCCGCACTCTGGGATGATCAAGAACAGACAATCTTTCAAGTATTTGAAAAGTGCTGTCATATCTCCCCTCATTCTCCCCTGCCTCTGAAGATTTATCTTGGTTGTCACAGAGTGAGAGGAAAAACTCATTCTGTTGAGAGATGAATTTCTTCAGGTAGATATTAAGAATCCCCTTAGAAAACCAAAGGTGATAAATCAAGAATTTAGCTCTTCACTCCAATAGCTTTCAGCCCCCTCTGCTCATCACAGCTAACTGCTTGAACCTCTGGGGCAATCACCTCAGTGAGACTTCAAAATGGGATTTGACAGACTTTTGTTAAGGGTAAATTGGTGGCAAGAGAGCATATCCAGTGGATTATACATGAGGGGTTTGGAAAACATTTATTTCATTTTTTTTCTCTAGGTGACCTCATTGGCATTTGGTGCTCAATAGCTGTACGTGAGCAATATAAATGTGCATACATGTTTACTAGGGTTGTTGACCAATCATGCAAAAGTTTGTTGATCTTCCTGTTAGCTGATGAATGAAGTAGTTATTTAAATTTGGGTATATCTCAATGTAGATACCCTTACAGAAATTTGAGTTACATTATATACAATATTATTAGGAGGGACGTGGTGGCGCTGCGGGCTAAACCGCAGAAGCCTGTGCTGCAGGGTCAGAAGACCAAGCAGTCGTAAGATCGAATCCACACGATGGAGTGAGCTCCCATCGCTTGTCCCAGCTCCCGCCAACCTAGCGGTTCGAAACCATGAAATGCAAGTAGATAAATAAGGACCACTTTGGTGGGAAGGTAACAGCGTTCCGTGTCTAAGTCGCACTGGCCATGTGACCACGGAAGATTGTCTTTGGACAAACGCTGGCTCTATGGCTTGGAAATGGGGATGAGCACCGCCCCCTAGAGTCGAACACGACTGGACAAAAATTGTCAAGGGCAACCTTTACCTTTTATATACAATATTATATCTCAATGTAGATACCCTTACAGAAATGTGAGTTACATTATATACAATATTATAACCAAAAACCAAGTATTAATTGTTGGATGTAAGCATAATTTTTCATTGAAAATGATTTGTGATAGTGTACAATAGAATTAGAACAGTCTCAAGCAAGGTTCCCACTAAGCTGGGCGCACCTGCGCCTCTGCCTCCCTCTGCGCAGCTGACCTCCCCCTCTGCGCAGCGATCGCATTAGGTTCCACCCAGCAGAGCAGAAAGTTAGGAGGTACTGTCGGTCTTAAGTATACGATGATATTAATTCTGTGCCCTAATTAAAAGTGAGCAGTGTTTCGAACTCTTAACCTCAAGGACAGGTGATACCTTTATTGCACGTACTTTGCAAGCCACCACCACAGAAGGGCCTCTCCCCTCCATGATCTCTGTTATTTTTATTTTCTATTGTTTGTCTATGAGTGCCCTTTTCCCTTGTCTTGTTTACCTTGAAGGATTCTGGGGAAGATTGCTAATAGGTAACACTCCGCCTTTGTCTCCTTTGTGTCCCTGTTTCTTTTGTTTCTTCCTCCAGTAGACCTTTTCTTTACTATCTTCCCTTACTACTTATCCCCTACCAAACTCCTGTTAACTCTCCCTGATCTCTTGCTCCCTGAATTCTGTCTCACTTTTATTCCTCTGCCTCACATTTTCAGGACTGACAAACGGTTTTAATCTGGCACATGGAAATGTTGATGTGTTTGTTTTAATAACTTCATTTTCACATTAATTCCAAGGACTTTTTTCTTAGAAATAAGTCTAACTAATTTTAGTACAACACCTAATGTTATTATTTAAATTGGGATTTTGGCTGGATTTTTTCCCCCTGTGATTCCCTGTAAGAAAAACGTATTAAGAATGTTGTGTAGTTTGAAAGAAACAACCATTTCGTTATTTCCAACAACTAACACATAACATTAAAAGGTATGGCTGTTCATCCATCTCCATGTCTGTCTCCACCACAGCTCCAAGGATGTGAAGCCACACACCTGTAATTTTGCATTAATACAAAAAGGATTCTGGGAATATGCAACTCAGGATTATTTTATTTTTGAAATGTATTAATTAATGTTTGTAACCTCTAAAGTATGTTTAGCTCCTAGGTACCATATTTCTTCATCTCTTTCTAAGAAGCAGAGAAGAAGCTGCTGTTAAGCTTGAAGCGCTCATTTTTTTTTTGCTTCCAGGTCTCAGTTATCCATGTTGTTTATTTTATTTATTTTTTATTATTTGAAATATTTTCTCCCCACCTTTCTCCTTGAAAGCACACAAGGGCACTTCCATGTCTTGCTTCCCTCTGCAGGGCTCCCAAATAGAGATGGGGGTATTAGTGTACAAATACGAATATCGGCGCACAGGTGGGGATAATGAAGGTCCTGCCCCATAGCGCTGGATTATCCACTCATGATTTCACCGCTGCCACCGGCTTCATGGAGGATTCCTATCATGCTGTTCTCCACAATAGATTAGTCACTCTCCGACCTAGCAGAGGGGCTTGTCCTCCCGCCCTCTGACAGGACTGGGTAATTGATTGCGGACAAAGGCGCAATAGGAAGATCTGATGAGCTCGTGTCAGTGGCAAAATCATGAGTGGACAGTACAGCCCCATGGAGCCCAGACTCCTGTTATTTCCACCTGTGTGGGGATATTTATATACAATACAAATACCCCCATCTCTACTCCCAAATGCTTCAAGAAGCTAAAGATATGGCAGGGGCTGGAAAAGGTCTTTTTTTTTGTTAAGTGAAGGAAGTGAGCAATGAGAACCAGGTGAGATAGAAAGAAAATCCAATTAGAAAGAAAGATAGCGGGTGTGGGTGAGAGAGAAGAGGAAGGACTGAGAGAAAGAGAAAGGATACCAGGGTGAGGAGGGAACTAAAAGCTTCTAACACTTTGAAGCTTGGGTCTTCTGCTACTCTCTTGTTAAAGAGAATATTATTTCTTGCAGAACATGAAGAGGAACTTGATAGAGAATTTGAACTGGAAACTGATTTGCTGTTTGGGGGAATTAAAAAGGTAAGGTCAGTGACTATCGCTGGGATATTAAAGTTTGGATATGCATGGGAATTCAATGTGAAGTACCATTTACTGGCATTGTTGACTGATGTGTTAAATTATACTCTGGGTGAAGGCACAATGTTTTGGCACAAATTGTGATCCAGCTTCAATCTATCCTGTGCCAACTGGCTCATCAACTTGGCTTAGTTCGATTTGCCAGGTTATATAGTCTATGGTGGAAGAAACTAGTGCTGTCCAATTTTTCTGCTTTGCTGTGTGCAATTTAATAGACTCAAGTGTGCACAATGGACACAGATTTGCGTGCACACTTGTCTTTCAGAAAAGAGTATTGAACACTCGCAAGAATTCAAATTATGCTATAAGGTTCTCGTAGAATTGTGTGTATTACTTTGTCTCTTACAAATTATTGTATTTGAGATACTGTGTTACATGCTACTTCATATGTATTACATGTATTACCATGTTCTCTAGACTCACTAGACTTTTTCTAAATGCTCTTCAGTAGTGTTGATTAAGGGCCATTGAGTCACTTAGCAATGCACCAATTGACAATGAAGCAGGCTACATCTAGATTAAATCCTCTTTTCCTATGAAATTCACATTTAAAAGTGAAAATGTATTCTATTTCATGTACATGAACAATAAGAAACTTTCTATACATTGAAAGAAATAGAAGTTAACAATGGTTTTTGTTTTTTGGAATGTAACACTTATGATAATTGGACCATCTGTCTTTGAACGATATGCGCAAGCCCATCTTGTTTTGTTGGCAAATAGAATTTTAAAAATTATATCAGTATAGCTATTGATTGATGGATTGATTGGATTGGATTGGATTTCTATGATGCCCATCTGGGTACAAAGGCCACTCTGGGTGGCTTACAAATTCAGCAACATCATAAACAACAATAAAAACAATCAAATGTCAGAATTAAAAACAAAAATACAACAAATAAAACAAAATAATAAAAGGGCATGGCGGAGGGGTTGAAGATATAATTGTTAAAACATCACTATATTAAGATGATCTAAAGTCTGGAAAGGCCTTTCCGAATAACCATGTTTTTAGTAGTCTCTTAAAAGTTCTTAGTGAAGGGGTCAAGCAAATTTCGGGTGGGAGACTATTCCAAAGTTGCGGAGTGACTGCTGTCACTTTCCAGTCATCAGGGTCAAAACTCTGAACCGTCCAGCCTGGGAGAATTGTACAGGATGGGCAAATCTAGTTTGAAGGAGGAGTTCTATCAGGTATTGCGGTCCCAAGCCATTTAGGGCCTATAGGTTAACATCATCACCTTAAAGCTGGCATGGAAATGGACAGGTAAACAGTGCAGGGCAGCCAGAGTAGGGGAAAAATGTGTTGATATCTTTTGACCCCTCTCAGTAATCTGGTTGCCATGTTCTGGATCTGTTTCTGTAATAGCCTTATGGGCAGCCCCACATAGAGAGCATTGCAGTAGTCTAATCTCAAGACTACCAGTGCATAATAAACATATCTGTATTATAGTCACCCTCTCCTCTGTCTTTGTTCCTGATCTAAATGGAAATACTGTACTTTTCTCTGCAAGTGTAAAACCCATTAGTACACTATTAACTGATTTAATATATGTCTAGGATCCAGTGGACTTTGAATGGAGCTTTTGGATGGAATGGGGAAGACAATACATACTGTGGCTTCTCCTTGGTCATGTAGTGGTATCACAAGTATTTGCTGTTTACCTGGCGAAGGTGAGTGGCTTTCAAATCATCTCCCTGCACCTCTCCCTCCCGTAAAACCATGTAAAGGTTGAAAAAGCTCTTCCTAATAACACAAAATGTTTTAATATTTTGAGTTTGTTATATTTTTATTGTTTCATCTCCCAGTAACTCAAAGCCATATTTGACCCTAGTAGAGATAGGATACAGATGATATAGTTTATGCCTTGTTCAGGGGAAGGGACCACCCGTAAATGAAGCGTAATGGAGCATGCTGCAGTCTGTTCTCACCCAATATTGCAGTTGATCACTTTGTTCTGTCTTCCCCTCTCCAAAGTGCACATTGAGAGAAGTTTTCATGGAGGAGCAAGCTACAGTTGTGGTTCCTTCATGCATTGAGGGGTTCTGACCGTATGGGGGAGCCTATTTCCTTTTACACTTGTGCTTGACACACAGGGGTTGCAGACACAACTGGTGTGGCGGCTCTTTAATCATGCAGAAGCCTTCTACATGGGCAGTGTATGAAAGGGGCTCAAGTGAGCTTCCCAGGCAGTATAGTATGGGTAAAACAGTCTGGGGAACATAAGGCTGGCTCTAAAAGTAGCTACACCTTGTTTTTTTCCTCTGCTTTCCCCACTAGCTTGGAGTGGAAAAACGGACTGGGGGATATCAGTGGGGGAAATGGTGCTGCTTAGTAAAGTAGGCCCATTGAATAAGTTGGGAATTTGAGGAATCAACTCCTCCATATATTCCATTAATTCAAATGGACTTACTCTCATTGCAACTTAGTACAGTGGTGCCTCGCATTACGATTGCCCCACATTACGACGAAACCGCATTATGACAGTGTTTTTGCAATCGCTTTTGCGATTGCAGAACGATGATCTAAATGGGCTTGTTTTGCTTTGCCATGATTGGTTCCCTGCTTCGGGAACTGATTCTTTGCTAAACGATGATTTTTCTACAGCTGATCGGCGGTTTCAAAATGGCCGCCGGGTAAATAAAATGGCTCCCCGTTGTTTTCTGGGATTCCTCACAAGACAGCCACCGAAAATGGCCGCCCTATGGAGGATCTTCGCTGGACTGTGAGTTTCCAGCCCATTGGAACACATTGAAGGGGTTTCAATGCATTTCAATGGGCTTTTTATTTCCGCATTATGATGTTTTCGTTCTACAGCGATTTCGCTGGAACGAATTAACATCGTAATGCGAGGCACCACTGTATGCTAAGCAACAGAATTTCAGCCATTATGTAAAGAAATCCCCTACAATGGTCAGTAACAGCCAGTGAAGTGGAGGATGAGCAAACTGAACAATGATGTCATATCACATGGTTTGTTTTTTTATACCAATTAGATATACCAACAATTTTGTTATATGCTGTGGAGAGAGCAAGAGAGGATATGTGTTGCTGTTGATTTTGGAATAGCTCTGCACAGGTTTTAGCCTGAGTTTCCTACAAATAGGCTCAATACTTTGCCCTGATCAAAGTACAGCATTCCATATGTTGTTGGACTGGGTTGCCCACTGTTCCTCACCGTTGGTTGTACTAGCTGGTGTTGCTAAAGACTGCCATGCGGTGGGAGGCACCTTGCCCACCCGCACTATAGCTATGGGGCTATATTGATACTTAAGAGATACATGCAAGTTATTTACATATGATGGCAGGATAAAAAGAGAACTTACAAGGACTTGTTCTTCCTTCACTTCCAAGAATTCTGCCCGTTCATCTCTTCTAGCAAACCATTCTTTTATGCTTAATGTTATGCCTAAATCCCACTCTATGATATATGGGATTGTATGTCTAATATATTCCTATACATGTCGGCAGAGAAGTAAACTCCTTCAGGTTCAGTGGGGCTGACTTCCAGGTAAGTGGGTATAGGGTGGCAGCCTAAGTATTAATCCAGGTCATATAGCATATTTTTATATATTTTGTTTATAATTTTCCACTAGTTACAGCATACTTAAGTAACAGGCTAATTAAAGTGCTTAGCACCTTTTTATTTATCGAAACAGGTACTTTGAAAATTAATGAACTAGCCTTTTATAATGTAATTTTAGTGGAGTAATTGAAGTAATTTGAGTGTTGAGTCTGAAGCAGATATTGCTGAATTGATTGACTATAAGAGAGGAACAGTTTTAATCAACTGTACATCATGATTCTTATTGATCTCCTTAATTAAGCTGGCAATATGGCCCATTTTGAGAAGAGAATTCTGTACAAGTTGTTTTCCTTATGCAGTAAAGAATAAAGGTACAGTAGTGTATTTGTGACAGTGTGAAAGGCAGGGGCCCTGGTATTTTAACAGTTTTGACTGAGAGATTTTATAAAGCTATCTGAATGAATGACCTCAACTGGAACGGAGATGTAGCTGCCAGCAGTTATGGTTCATAGCATCTGTATTAGAAGCATAGGAGAAAACAAGGCAGCTTCTGCCTGCACTATACTTGCCTGTCCACAGTATCACATCACATTTTATAATGACCTTTGATGTGACACACTGTTTGGAAGGTTTTTTGGGGATGGCTGTCAGTGTTTGTTCCAGTGTATGAATAGAGTGTTGGGTGTAGATCCAGAAGGAGTTTCAAGTCTTTTTTGTTGATTCTCTGAACCCAATATCTGGCTGTTGGCCTGAAGGAGAATAACTGAGTGGAATTCAAATGTGATAGATAAATAAATACATGTCTGTGATGCAGTAAGGCAAAATATCTTGGCACCTTTGGTGTAATCTCCTAGTGTAGACGTGAGTCAACAAAGCTGATCATTAGAGTGGCTTCAGAAAGAAGAGGTCTCCTGGAGAAGATGAAGTGTTTGTCTCATTCAGCATTTTATGGTGGAGAAAGGCCTGAGAATAAGAATATTTAAAAGTCCATGTATCTGCAGAATGACTAAGGTCCTACAATAAGAACAATAACCTGCCTGTCATGTTTCAGGCATCCTTCAGGCAGTTAAAATGGAGTCCCTGCCCCCTCATTGTTCCCTAATTTAAGAACAGAAATCTTTGTCTAGTTCTCACATTTTACTTCCATCTTCTTGGGTTCTTGAAAGGCACCAGTGGGTCATCTCCCCATGTGCTACTTGCCATGTTTTTGACAAATGTAAATACTCCTCATGCCATTTGTATAGCAACCACCGCAGCCTTGATGCACTGTTTGTCCCTTGTATCTCACCTCCTCTTGTTTCCAGAATGCCACATACATCTTCAGTTAGGGCAAAATGGGGAAGAAGCTTGTCAGAGTCTCCATCTCTGCTCAATTCTTCACAGCTCATTTCTAATAAACTCTGTGTCGACCACAATTTCTGTGTTACAAGATTATTAAAACAGAGAGTTCTTCTCTTCTTACATTGCCTTTGCAAAAGTGATTCTATATGAAAGCCAGATATTTTCTTCTGTGCTTCAGACTTGCACTGAGTAAGGATAGATCTATGTACATTGTTCGGTTGTGTTTTCATTTCTTTTTAAGAACCAGTAGCAGAGGTTACCTTTTTACAGCTGGAATCGCTTCAATGGTTGCTTCTTAGCCTCACAGAGACACTGACAGACACCTAGGGAGGCCACCTGATGAGCTTCAAAGAACAGCTGACACACACTGAGCAGCCTCTGTAATACTGTCCATCTCTGAACTGTCTCTTGGTGTCCCTTGACTCTACTTGGAACATTGTAGGAACATTTGTACAACTCTTTACCATATCTTTCTGCCAACTTGGATTTATGATTTACTGCTTAATTTTCTGTATCAAATCGGAATATGTGGCTGGCATAGCATTTGATATTTTTGCTTTTGCTGCTTAGATATTTTTGCTTTAGCTGCTACAGAATAGTAATCAATGTTTCTGCAAGCCAGCTTGAAGCCAAATTACACCACTGAATGCAGAGATTCCCATTAGAATGAGGTTCATTGCCCAAACTCAGGAGGTGAGGAAATGTTCACCCTCCCCGTGACATCCTGATATTGTAAGCTACAGTGGTGCCTCGCGTAACGATGTTAATCAACAGTGGTGCCTCGCTTAACGATGTTAATCAATGTATGGAAAATCGCCGTTAAGCGAAAACATCGTAAAGCAAAAATAAAAAACCCATTGAAATGCATTGAAACCCATTCAATGCATTCCAATGGAGTGAAAACTCACCGTCCAGGGAAGATCCTCCGTGCGGCAACCATTTTCGCTGCCTGTATAGCCAGGAATCTGTCCTTAAACACAGTGGGGAGCCATTTTAATTACCCAGCGGCCATTTTGAAACTGCCGATCAGCTGTTAGAAAAACATCGTTTCGTGAAGAACCAGTTCCCAAAGCAGGGAACCGATCATCCCAAAGCGAAATTCCTCCACTTAGACTATCATAAAGTGGATTAGGCATAATGCAGGGCAATCGTTAAGCGAGGCACCACTGTACTGTTACAGTGTTCAGCGTATACCAATACATCCACACCCTGCTCTATAGAGCTATGTTGGCTGTTCTCTTAACTAAGCAGCCTTCCCAGACCAGGGGCATTGGTGAGCTCTGGAAGGCCATGTCTGCAGCATCAGAGAAAAGGCTGGTGTGCAACTCTCCAAAACCCAAACGACTCCAAGTACTTTGCTTTGAGGGGTCCTCAGAACAAGGCTTTGTAAATTGAGTGGCTGTTGGGCTGCCTGGTCAGGGTCAATCAACTTCTCCTATCTTTGTAAGTTGAAAGCTTAATCACTTGACCTTTTGATGAAATAGTCTGTAGCTTTATTCATTTTCTTGCCTACTTTGCATGTACTTTATTTTCAGTTCTGTGTTTGGCACAATTATATCCTGTGTTGTATTCAGAGGTCTGTGAGGTCCTGATAGTGAGTAAACCACTACTACAGTTTTTAGCATACTATTGGGTGACAAAATATACTGGATAAAATGTTGGATTTAGATGGGAGAGATCTGGGTTCAATTCCTCCATGTTGGCCAAGAGGTTCACTGGATGATCATCTTCCTATTTTTCAGCTTCATCTATGTCAGCCATTCTCAGCCTTTTTTTTGGTCACAGCTATAAACGCAATATAAAAAAATATAGGCCAAATCAGGATTGTGTAAGTTGCATAACAAACCTAATAATGTGTTATGTCACTGGTTCTTAACCCAGGATTGTGTAAGTTGCATAACAAACCTACTAATGTAAATATAGGCCAAATCAGGACAGTTTGTGGTCCCCTTGGTTTCCAGTTTGTGGTCCCCTTCAAATGTGCTGGGGCCTTCCGGGGGCTATATGCCCCCTGTTGAGAATGGCTGATCTATGTCACAGAGTTGCTGTCAAAAATAAACACGGTAGCCCCGTGTATATTGTTCTAAATTCTTTTGAGGTAGAAATATAGAGAGGGAATCGTTAACATACATTCTGTTGAATGGAGATTTTTGCAGTTAAATTTCAACCATTGTTTCCCCTGTCTTTTCAGTACAAACCATGGTTTCTGATGGTCTATGGCATAACAGCCTGTTGGTTTCTGCTGGGCACCAATGGCCTTGCACTGATTTTTCTACATGTAACTGCTTCATATTTAGTTGCTCAGTTTAAGAACCCCATTCTGACATGGATGAGCTCATTGCTTCTTTTGTCAACTTTACACTTTCCTGCTCTGGAAGAAATAAAGGTAAGTAGCTTCATAAATTTTTTAACAAAGAAAAATATATCCATTTTGATTTTGAAGATATTTGTGTTCGGGGCAGTCATAGTAGTTCCTGGTGCTTTTAAAATGAATTCCAGCAGTTGGGAATTGGATATTGTCGCATTCCCCCAGTGTCCCCTGTGTGTTTTCCCTCAAACACAGGTCCACCTTCGGACACGATGTACTATTTTTGTCCCTTTATATGCTGCCACCAGTGGATCTTTATCCACACTGTACCAAATAAGTTTCTTAGACCCAGGCTGCCAAATATAACAGGTTTATTTATTGTCTGATTGGTAAATCACAGAAGTAAAGTCATAGATGTTCTTTTATTGTTCAATCATTAAACTTGGATAGCATTAGATGTTTGTTTGTTTGTACTCATTCACATTAACCACTGTAACAATATCTTATGACTGTCTATTTCCTATTACTTTTATCTCTTATCTATTCTCTCACACACCAGCTTTTCAATCTCTGTCTTAACCCTTCAAAAAACCTCTTTTTCTCTCATTCTCCAACTGTTCTCCTGACTCCACCCCTCCTGTCCTGCCATAGGATCCTGCCCTAGAGCTCCATATGATGGACAGGCGTGACTTGGGCATTCCACCACAGATATAAAGTATACACGAAGTTAGTGTTCGTGTAAGTTAGCAGTGTTTTTGTTTCAGTTCAGGCAGTCCAGTTGATTCACACAGACAAAGACAGCTTTGTGTATTTACAGTATATACAGAAGTTCAGCAGTACAAACCGGCAGCATGACATTCATTAGAAGAGATCCGTACATCTTCTCCACATGTCCACACAGTTATACACATGCACATTTACATACAGTCAATCTGTGTGGACATTGCATCATCCCAGACTGCATGATTCAGCATTTTGCACATCTGTCAAGTATGGCTGCTGATTATTATAGGCCTTATTCTGCCTCAGTGTGGAAATTATCCTTGACAGTTAGGAATTTGTGCCTGCTTATACTGGTAGAAAATATTAATTGAGAATATTTGGAGGTGCCCTATTAAGTCTCTCTTGTGAGATATTCTGGCTTTAATTCTTTTCAGTCAACTTGAAATTAAACAATAGCAAACCAAAAAGCTCAGCAGCCAATAGAACGGAAGAATTGGTTGAAGTGATCTCATCTTGTATTTAATTAGTATATAATATATAAGATAAGAAGTTATTTATTAAAATATTTGTACATTCCTTCACAAACACAAAGATTTCCAAGATGGTTAGGATAGGAATGTAACAATCAACATATGACGTGGCCCCAGTGGTGGTTCTGAAGCTTTAAAAAATCCTGCTGATTTTCAATTAAGTAGTGCTAGAAGGTACAACTGTTATGTCTTGTGGGTTAATTATTCAAGTCTTCAAATAAGTTCAAGGTTTCATATTTGTTCTTCGTAACTGTTTGTGCTATATCTGCTTATATCATTCATACATTTTGTATATGGCCTCTGTTTGCTTGATTTGTTTTTAAGGCTTGGCTTCCAATACAGAACAGAAGGGAATTCCTTCATCTTGTTCTTTGGGTAAAAAAACCCCAAAACAACAAAAAATCTTGGTTCAATACTTCTTGTATGCGCTGTCTGATAATAACTTCTCTTTTTGTTAACTTATATTTTACTCCTATATGGATTCATTACTTTAATTTCCTTCTATCTTTGTTATCTAAAACAGGGGTCCCCAATACCCGGTCGCTTAGATATGGATTCATTAGTTTATTTTCCTTCATTCTTTGTTATATCTGGTGTTCTAAAACAGGGGTCCCCAATCCCTGGTCCGCGGCCCAGTGCCGCTCTTTGGGCTTCCTGGAACTGGGCCACGGTGATGGATCTCCACCCCCCCATGCATGGGCGGTGGGCATCATGGAGGGATGCATTGCGCTCATAGGGTGGCGTGTCATGCTCACAGAGGGGTGTGTCGCCCCTGCGTGCATGTGCACGATCACGACATGCCCACCTGCGAGCATGACACATCCCTCTGTGAGTGCGACACACCCACCCATGAGCGTGATACACCAACCTGTGAGTGTGGGGGTGCCCCCACCCCCTTGCGCACAGAGCCCGCACCCCCCAACTTGTCCACGGTCCCCAAAAGATTGGAGACCACTGTTCTAAAAGGTCTTGTTATTTTTACCAGTTTTCTCCATACTTTGTTGAGTATATATGGAATTGTTTTGACTACTTTTGTTTACTACAAATAACTATACTAAACAAATCACATAGGCCACTACACTGTTGGATTTACTCCATGTGGAATGGCTATTGCACAAGTGATTTTTGCCATTTTTCAGGGTGGTTATGTGTGCAGTATCATGACTGGTTGCATGGTTGGTTGGATATTTATTTATTTTTTAATGTTATAACTTTTTGTATTTTAATTTTAATTGCATGTCTTTTAATCATTTGTGAGAGAGAACCTTGTGTTCCCACACCAAGGGATGGGCAGTGCAGAAATGGAATAAGTGCATGCCTGCATAAATACCTGTTCCATTTCTTCATAAGAAAAGACAAATTCTTAGAGGGCGCCAAGTGTATGATTCTTTTGTTGTCTTTCATATTTAGCTCTGGAGTCAAGACATGACAGTCTTCATTCTTTAGCTGCTGCGTTCTTGAGTCCAGGTTTGGTCTTTTGGAAGTCTTCATATTTCACTTCCTTTTTATTTCCGTGCTATACACAAGTCATTAGTGTCACCCATGCTGACATGTGATAGGCATTGCTTTCTTTTGCACTGGCGAGGTTGTCTCTGCAGTGTCTCCAGGGCTTGTCCAAGACATTTTGCTGTCTGCCGTGAAGGACAGGATGGTGCTCCCTCCCTCATTCAACCATGTGTAAGAAACTAATTAGACTGAGAGTTGAATTTTACTTCAGTACATCCTCTCACATAGGGCAAGCCATATGTCATATATAGAACCTATGATGATTTCTGTTTGCAGAAAGTGGATCTTGGATTCCACCTTCTATGTTCATTTATATTGATTGTTGGTCACTGCTTAGTTGATTGTATTTACTCATTACTCTTTTTTTCTAATTGATATAAACTATCTTTATCTATAAAATATACATCACTTTTACAGACTGGGGCTGGTTCCAAGAATCACATAACCCCCTTGTTAGAGCAGCTCCACTGGCTGCCAATCCATTTTTGGGCTACATTCAAAGTGTTTGTCTTAACCTATAGAGCCCTAAATGGCCCCCTTTTTTTCCTAAGTAGCTTGATTTTGCCCAGGGATTTTTGCTGACTGTTAAAAGCTGTGGCGAAAAGGCTGTATATTTCAGTTCCATCTATGTGTGAAGAGAATGATTTATTGAGCAAAAATAAAAACAGCTTACTCAGAGGATTCTACGGAAGCAAGGGCAGGGGGTCCAGTCAAATCGTCTGCCTCATTTTGGGGATTCCTCCATTTCCTTCACATACCACAATGCAAATTCCTGCTCTCCCGAAATGTCCCTTGACCCTTTATGTAGTATTTTATAAACCAAGGATACGTTGTGGAAATCTGTTTCTGCTTACCAATTTGCATGCTACAAAATCTGGATTCAGCCCAGAGAAGAAATACCTGCAGCATAGATGCTTTGTAAACTCTGTCCTTGAAATTACTGATGCTTTGTGGTTGCTAATGTGATTTGTATAATCAGCCCTTGCTGTTCCATTGCAATTTCCCCTCCTACATTTAAAGCTTTCCTCTTGAAACAGCTCTTGCATTTTCAGCTTAACTATCTCAGTTGTTCAGCAGAAGAAATTTTAGGCCAAGGCAGCATAATTGCCATTCTAAGAAAATCCTCCTCTTCTTCCTTTCTGGGTGTCTCTTCAGATGTACAACATCCATGCTTTTCTTTGTTTTTGCCAGAACTGTCATAGGACAATGAACAAATGTATCAGATAATTCTCACCCAATAACAGGCTGTGAGACCCGAGGCGAGGCTATAGAAGCGCTCGCCGGAGTGTCATCCTCCTTTAAGGAGGAAAAGGAGACCGAAACGGAGACTACAACTGCCCGTGTCGCGGTCAGGCATCAGGGAATAGACACCCGTGAATTGGAACGGGGCTTGGAGAGACTCTCGGTGGCCACTCAGGACTAGAAAAGGCAGGAACAAGAGTGAAGGAGCAACCGTTGGTAGAGGCGGGACATGGGGATATAAAAGGGGACTGGGACAACATACCAGGTGGCTGGGAGCTGATATGGGTCGAGGATCCCTGGACAGGGAGGTGCGAGAAAGTGAAAGTGCCTCGGGAAGAGGCTGATTACAGGAGAAGAAGGGGATTACCTTCCAAGCCGTCTTATTGGGGGGAATCCGAGGCCAGAGAGTGGCGGAGACGCTTGAGAGAGGAGAAGGAAGCAGTGGAAAGGGAAGAACATGAAAGATGAGCATGGCGTCTGGAGGAGGCTCGCCAGAGGAGGTATTTACAGGACCTTGGGACCCCTATGCAGAGGGAACCGACCCCTTTGACCATGAGGGGGGAGACGAGGAGACATTACCCCTGATTGAGGTGGACAGTGATAATAAAGATCAGGGTGAGACCAACCCTTTCACCAAAGGACCCTGGTATGATCCAAGTTATAATCCCTTCCTACAAGATTTATGGACACCCTCGTTTGACCCATTGGCAACGAGAGAAAAGAACACGGACAAGTTTAATGTTGATACTTCTTTATTTGATGTTCCAATAAACCCCAGTTCTGTTTTTCAAAAAACTGAGCATCCTGTGTTTGTGTCCAATCAGCCTAAGGTTACATTCGAACCTTCACACAGGCAACATCAAGATCATTTGGGGCAACTAAGACCAGAGCTTCCAGAGTACATGTTGAGGGGCATAGAATACACAGACATAGGTGTGAAGTTACTTTTCTTCTGGGTACTTGCAAAGAACTGTGTTTGGGGGAGGGAACCATTTTTTAAGATTCAATTTGGTTCTGCCACCTCTCCTCTGTAGCCTATTCAGGGACTTCCAAATAACTCAGTTCTCCATGTGACTGGGAACTATATTTTTCTGGGGTCCCGGAGCAGGATACAGGAAGTACCAGATTAACGGCAAACTTGTGTTCCTCGGTTTATAAACTGTCCCTTCATTTTTACCCTCATTTCTGTTGCTTCATAAGGTAATATCAGTACCGGTCCCTCTCTCTGGCTATAGATTGATTTTCATTGCTGTTGTAGAATATGCATTGGTTTTTGTATACCTGTAGAAATATAGTTCTGAGTAGATAAAGACTCAAGAGTCTGCTGAATATAGTTGTCATCATTCTGTCATCTATACTCAGATGGGGAAACAGAACTACATTATGGTTGACATCCAGTAGTAAGTCACAAGTGGAGTACGCCATTGAATCAGTGAAACTTACAAAGGTGTGGACTTACCAAATCTCCACTGGTTCAGTGAGCCTATACCAGTAGCAACTTACTACTGGGTTTCAGCCTTTGGAAAATTTCACTTAAAAACCAAGCCACTTCAATGCAATCAGAAACTCCTAATTGTTACTTTCTCACACAGTGGTGCCCTGCTAGACGCTTAACCTTACGCCATTGAATCAGTGAAACTTACAAAGGTGTGGACTTACCAAATCTCCACTGGTTCAGTGAGCCTATACCAGTAGCAACTTACTACTGGGTTTCAGCCTTTGGAAAATTTCACTTAAAAACCAAGCCAATTCAATGTAATCAGAAACTCCTAATTGTTACTTTCTCACACAGTGGTGCCCTGCTAGACGCTTACCCTGGTAAACAATGAAATCGCTTGCTGATGACTTCTTTGCGATCACTATTGCGATTGCAAAATGATGGTTCCTATGAGGGAAATCCACTTTACGTTGATTAGGTCCTTGCTTCGCAAATTGTTTGTTTGCAAAACAATTTTTTTCCGGCTCCACAAAATAGCTTCCCTCCCTTCGCAAAATGGCTGTTTTCCGGACAGAAACCTTGGAAGACAGCAATTTTAAATGTCACAAAATGGCTGTTTTCTGGACAGAAGCCTTGGAAGACAGCAATTTTAAATGGCTGGTCGGCGGTTCTCTATGGGCGATCTTCGCTGGACGATGAGGTATTTCCCCATTGGAATGCATTAACCGGTTTTCAATGCATTCCAATGGGTTTTTTCACATGACGACGATTTCGCTGTACAGCGATTTTAACGGAACAGATTATCGTCGTCATGCAGCACACCACTGTAGTAAAGTATCTGACAGTCTTGCACCATAAAATAGCACCCAAGATTTACTGCCTGAGATAGGGCCTGGCCTCACTTTACCACATGGAAAGCCTAACTCTGAGTTTGTGGCTTTCACTTATGCAGGTGAATGGCACATTGCAAGGCTGTTTCACATGCATGTGCTTTGGGTTGCTAGCTTTCAAAGAGAGCCAGTGAGGTGTAGTGGGTAGTACTTAGGACTGCGATTCAGGAGATCTGCGTGGGAATCCTCGCTGAGCCATGAAAACTCATGGGGTGGCAATGGTAAACCAATTCCTGAAAGCCTGACATACCTCAAAAACGTTATTGAGGCCCCTATAAATTGGAAGCAACTTGACAACACATAACAAGTTTCAGCATTTAAAGATGTCTTGGTCCTGCCAACTTCATAGGTACATTTGGTGGGGACACAGGAGAGGGCCTTCTCTGTTGCTGCTGCCAGTCTTTGGAACCCCCTCCCACAGGAGACCAGACTGGTCCCGTCTTTGCTGTCCTTCCACAAAGACCTTTCTCTTCAGGCAAGCTTTCCTGAGTGACTGGCTGCCTGAGTGGGGTTCTAAAATGGATTGTTATACCTTAAGTGACTGCCTGCCTGAGTGGGGTTTTTAAAATGGATTGTTATACCTTGCTGCTTATGTTTTTTAATATTGTATTTGTCTGATCCTTTTTTGTATATGTATACTCACTGTTCATAGCTTAAATACTGTCTTTGAATGATGTAAGCTGCCTTGGGTCTTTTTAAGGAAAAAGGCAGGGTCAAAATATTTTAAATATATAAATAAATAAGTAGTAGATATTAGGAGAGAGATTAGCTTGTGATGTTGCTGCATAGCATTAAAACCTTTATGATAAATGTTCTTTACCTCCATATCTACAGAGGTAAGATTTCATATTATTTTCAAATGGTTTTTATTTTACAGAGAGGCTGGTATGCCAGTGAAAATGAGTACTACTTGCTTCTTTTCGCCTTGACTGTCCGCTGCCTCTATTACACAAGCTTCAGCCTAGAATACTGCTGGCACACCTCTTCCAAGATGATGGAACCGTCATTCCTTTGGATGCTGGCATATGTGTTCTATTATCCCGTGTTTCACAATGGGCCCATTATCACTTTTGATGAATTCTATAAACAGGTGACAGTACTTGTTGAATATTGCTTTGTTCGTGGCTGGCCAGGGGGTTCTGTATTGCCCATGTTATTTGGTTTAGAGCTTCTCTTTAATAACTTGACCTTAAGTGTCACCACTGGCTTCTGTATCAGTGTGGAACCATATGAAGGACTGTCAGGATTGCTTTCTGCTGCTTGGAAGGAAGGACTAAATTTGGGAGTTTTAAGTGACCCTTCTTGGATGCACACTTTAACATCATGAAGGGGTTTGTTCATGTCAGTGAAGACAAAAGCAATGCCATTAGGAGGCCAGACTCTACTGTGAGCCTGGGTTCCTACCAGGGTCATCCAATGTGGAATGACCACAGCTGAGACAGTCAGTATAGAAATACTAAAAAAGATCAAACAAATACCATTGTAAGAGATGGTAAACAAGAGCAGTAGTAAAAATGCATTCAAAGCAGTAAGGCACACCAGTCCATTAAAAAAATCCCACTGGCAGCCAGTCATGAGGGAAAGCTTGTCTGAAGAGAAGGGTCTTTGGAGTCTGCACCTAGTCTGGTTAGTGGTCCCCAAAAGTATTTATTTATTTATTTTATTTAATTTAATGTAATTTAATTTAATTTATACCCTGCCTATCTGGTGCCATGAGCACTCTAGGCGGCTAGATAAAGTAGCTTTATCACACATTGCTCTATCTATTTGGGTAATTTCTGGATAGAAGTTTCATGGATCAAATCCATAGGTGTGGTCTCCTGATTGTGTTACTTTCCTGGAATGCACATACCAGAGTAGTCTGCAACACATAGGTAGCCCAGTGGGTTAGATGGAGCAAGCTAGTAGAAAGTAGGAGTTTTTAGCCAAAAGTTTAGAAGTAGCAAGCCAGTAGAAAATAATAGATATGAGTTGTGAGATAGTGAGATAACGTACTGTATTTTTCCATGTATAAAACACTTTTTCCTTAAATATTTAGACAAAAAATTGAAGGTCGTTTTATACACAGCAGGCAGCCATTTTCCCTGCCTTTTGCAAAGCCATGGGGCTTAACAAAAAGGAAGGGAAGGCTCCATTTGGGTAATGCAATCGTGAAAGGGCTGCACGGTCGCAGCCCTTTGATCTTGAAGCTGCTTCAGGATCAAAGGGGTGCGACCATGCAGCCCTTTCCAGACTGCATTACCCAAAGGGAGCCTTCCCTTTTTGCTAAGCCCCATGGCTTCGCAAAAGGCAAGGAAAAGTGGCAGTCAAAGGGAGCCCTTTGATCCCTGATTTTCCCTTCCTTTTGCTAAGCCCCAATGCTTCGCAAAAGGCAAGGAAAAGCAGACATCAAATTTTCTTATGTGGGGTTAGAAAAGGGGGGTTGTCTTATACATTGGGTCATCTTATAAACTGAAAAATACGGTATTCCCTAAGAGATATACTGTGACATATCTTTTCATATTTGTTTTTCTAGAGTTAACTTAGTTCTCCTGTTTTGACAAGCATATTCAGTTTTAGTAGTTCTATAGATACAATGGACAGTTTCATCCTGTTCCCAAAAATTCAGGGTAAAATTCTCCAAGATAATGCATGTTTTTCAAATTAAAACTGATTGAAACTGAATATATTCTTTTATAAAGTAAACTGCAAGAAATCTGAATAAATCATTGTTTCAGTTCTTTGGTAGCCTTGCATATCTAAGAAAATTGTGTTTTAAGTGCCCATCACTTCACTGTGTAAATGGACAAAGTAGCATTGCTTCATTTTATAAAGGACCTTCATTTTGTACATGTTTGTTTACTACTCAGAGATTAACAGTCTAAGATTTTCTTGACTATGAGCTTTAACATTGCTTCAGATCCTCCTTAAGAAATCTGCTCAAACACCCACAGATCCAGAACCATGTAACACATTTTAAAAATCTGTATCTTATCTCAGAAAATCCTTTGTGTAGCATTATGGGGGTTAGTAGTGTCTATCACGTGAAGCCACTGAATTACTGTTACCCTCATCTGTTTTTGCATTTATTTACCTTATTTCTGCAGAGGTATTAGAATGTGAGAAAGAGAAAATAATACTGACAGTCAGCTGTAATGGCAACAAAAACTGGTTTACCTTAGAACAGGGGTCAGGGAACTTTTTTACTTTTTACCCCCTAAAAAATTTATATAAGCCGACATTACCCCCTTGATTTGAAAGGAGGGAAATGATACAGTATTTGAATTCAAAATTTTATTGAATCTATTCAAAATTACTGTGAAAGTGTCAATTTACTTGAAAACTTCAGGTTTTAGAGAAATGATGTTGCTTCATCTTAGATACAAGAGCATCAATACTGGGGCATTTTGATGTCAGAGCAATATGGATACAGTCTTCAGGATCCAGTCGATTTCTCTGCTTTGTTTTTATGTTTGTGAGAATGGAAAATCCTTGTTCACAAAGGTAGGTTTTTGCAAAAGGCAGCAAATTTTTGACTGCCTCCTCATGTGTAATTTTGAATGTCGTTGCAGCGGTTGACATCCAAAAATTTGACAGAAATTCTGCATGGCAGAAAGTGAGGACTTAAAGAACCTCTTAATGAGAGTGAAAGAGGAGAGCGCAAAAAATGGTCTGAAGCTCAAGATCAAAAAAACTAAGATCATGGCCACTGATCCCATCACCTCCTGGCAAATAGAAGGGGAAGATATGGACAGATTTTACTTTCTTAGGTTCAGTGATCACTGCAGAGGGTGATAGCAGCCATGAAATTCAAAGATGCCTGCTTCTTGGAATGAAAGCAATGATAAACCTAGACAGCACCTTAAAAAGCCACCCTTTCCCCCCACCTTAATTCAAAGTTTCTTTTGCTTGCCTGTTCATTTTCACAGTTTTGAGTCAGTCTCTCTCTCT